AAAATAATATTGAAAAATAATAAGCTGAAAGAATATAGAACTAGGACAAAGGGGATAGATTTATCAAATGAAATAAGGGGGAGTACTTAGTTAAAAAAAATTACCTTTGATGAACGGGAAATGTGTTTAAAACCCGTTTTAGGGTGGTAGCATACGGTCGTCCTCTTTATCGTTATTGCAGTTAACGACGCGTCTCACTTTAAATCCTTTTAGGCGGATTTAAAAGTATAAAAAATAAAGTAGAAAAGAAAACAACAAAACAGCTGCAAAGAAGATACGACTCGTCGCGACATTTGAGTGGGTGTAGTTGTTAGGGTGTAAGTAAAGATAAGAGTTTGGTTATGAAGTTTCGATGCTTGTATTCACATATAAGTGCACAATTGCATACGATTATACTTAAGTAACTATGTGCATATATACATACATACTTAAGTAAGTATATCGACTGTAGTAATAAAAAGAGCAATCGAACTACAGAAAGTCGTGTCCGAGCAGCATTGAAAATCGCAAGAGTACATTGGAGCATTACTAGCCAATTGTTGTGGTTAAGTACTTGATATGATTGGCATCCTATTTACGAAATTCGTCGCCCACATTAAGTACATAGTTAGTTAAAAAATTTGATGTAGCGGAACAAGAGTCACTGTGACCGGCAAATTGTAGGATTTATTAAAGCGCTTTGAGGAAATATATTTTGTAAAATCTAGCATCGCTCAGCATTCTCGCGGTTTTGGTCTTCGACGCGTAAATCCCAGCAACGATAAACGACCGTTCCAACCAATTTAGGTCTTTGTCCACTAAAGCTTTTTCGGAATTTCAATTTGACATGAAGCGCTAAAAGGTGGTTCTGAACCCCACGTCTCCATCTCCTAGTAAATGTGTCTTAACATCTGTAAAATTTCTGTTTTAGCATTGTCTCGTTTTCACATGTGGGTAACTAGCTGTCTTAACATATCACTTTCAAAATGGCATCAGGCAAATCGATCTGTACCCAACGTAGAAGGCGCGGTAAAATGAAAATTGAGTTGTCAAACTTCGAAATGACAGCTGATGTTAAGACAGCGAAGGTAAGAAATTCGGCAACACAGATATGGATTAGCAGTGGAAATTTTCGGTGTCCACCTAACAGTTCTCTCTTATCACAGCTTTTTTAACAGAATCTGTAGAAGGTGGAGACGTGGGCGTAAGAGGGCCGCTCTATATAAGCCAGACGTAATATGATCAGGTGGAGTAGATTTGCTTATCCCAAGTTTGGACTACAATCAGTTAGCATTCTTTACTTATTTCCTTCCTTTTTCTGATTTCCAAAGATGTTAAATCAAGTTCTTGGAAGGAGTGTTTGTCAAGTTTTCGAGACTACGTCGGACAAGTGCCGAGGAGCATCAGCGGTGGTGCTAAATGGCTCAACCTACCTCCAGAGAATACTAAATCTTGGGGCCTGCGGCCTGGGTGTAAATCCCAGTAAAAAGGAGCTTGTTCTCTTTACTAGGAGATATAAGTTACCGAATTGCCGTTTTCCCTCAATGGGTGGTCTTTCTCTAAGGCTCCCTGACAGGGTGAAGTACTTGGGCTTGATCCTTGACAGTAAGCTTTCCTGGAAGCCGAACGTGGAGGAAAGAGTGAAGAAGGCTACAGTAGCATTGTTGTAGAGGGGCCATTGGCAAGCGCTGGGGCCTCTCGGCGAAGGTAGTGCATTGGCTTTATGAAACTATAATCAAGCCAATTTTATTATATGGGGTACTCGTCTGCTGGAACGCACTTGACAAAGCCTACATCGTCAGGCAGCTGGAGAAGGTGCAAAGAGATGCATTAATAGGAATCGGTGGGGCACTTCGAACCACACCTACTCTTGCGCTTAATGCCATATTAAATGTTGTGCCTATAGATATAGCTGGCAGGGTTGCCGCTGCGTGCGCCGCAGTAAGGCTAAGAGGGGTGGGCTTCAAGTTCACCTCAAGCTATGGGCACTCCAGAATTCTAAAAGGCTTCGGGTTCCTACCGACTCGGACAGACCACTGAACGCCGGTTCTGGATCCGAATGGATCTTTTACCACCCACATTCCAGCGAAGGGAGACTGGGAGTGGTGCAGTATCTGGAATCGGGGACCTGTAAACTTCTTTACAGATGGATCGAAGCTGAATGGGAAGGTGGGCGGAGGTGTCTGCTGCGAAGAGCTCTCCATCAACCTGAACTTAAGGTTACCGGATCACTGTAGTGTTTTTCAGGCTGAGGTGGCCGCGCAAAAAGAGGCTTCGGATTGGTGGCTCTCTGGTGTAACATCTGCTAAGGAGGTAAATATTTATTCTGACAGCCAAGGAGCTATCAGGGCTCTTGGATCCCTGACAGTGCGTTCGAAAACAGTGAGGGAGTGTTTGACTTCTCTATCGACCGCGTCTGATTATTTTGCTATTAAGCTTATTTGGGTTCCAGGTCACAGCGAAATCGCTGGAAATTGCATGGCTGATGTGCTCGAAAGACAGGGAACCCTAGAGGAATTACTTTCAGATAGGGAGGGTATGGGGGCTCCCCTAACCTCGTGTGGTCTGCTTCAGGACAGATGGGCGTTTAGTCAGCTCAGCGAGCGCTGGCCGAAGACCTTGGAGTGCAAGGTGGCAAAGTCCTTCTGGCCGCGGGTGGACCGGAGGTGGTCTGGGGAGCTCTGGAGACTAAGCAAACTGCAGCTTTCACTATTGGTGGGAGTGCTTACTGGTCACTATGTGATTGGTAACCATGCTGTAAGGCTGAAGGTCGTGGATAACCCTTACTGCACCAGATGCATGGAGGACGATGAGGTGGAAGCATCTCAATATCTGCTGCTCTGGTGCCCTGCTTTAGGGAACCTAAGGTTTAAACACTTTGGTTCGCACTTTTTTCACACTCCCGATGAGCTCTCGGGAGTGGACATCAGTCGACTGAAGAGCTTCGTTGTGAGCCGGAGCGTTTCTCCCGCAAAAAGCCACAGGCGTCGTATTTCTCCCATAGCTTCCCCCCTCTTTCCCCTTCCCATTCACTCTCTTTTCTCCGGCCTCCCTGCGTGCGGGATTGCTCCGAAGGATTGATCGCAGTTTTGCTATGTAAACGCACCATCATGAACGCTCTGATCCATATGAAGGGTATTCTCCACTTACTATTGCATTCCCTTTGCGGTCTCCTAAGACGGTCTCCATTCAAAGATTTACATACGGGTCAAGTACTAAATAACACCCATAAACTTATCAAGTATCCTCAAAATTCAGCTCTCACTTCCATAATACATCTCCGTGGGGCAGTTAGGTTTGGAAGGGGATTACATGGAGGCAGAGCGATGCAGAAATATTTGTGACTTCCTGCTTAATTCCATCACCATTAACTTTACAGCGGGCAGCGTAAATGTGGCTGGCGGAGGAAATATTTTGAGGACTCATTGTTGTGTAGGCTTTCCCTGACGGGGTAAGATACATGTATGTAACTATGTAAACGCAGAAAATATCCCGGAATCGGTTGGAAAAAGAGGCATTAGCTCCCTTTTTTAAATTAAAACTGTTCGTGTTATTATTGCAAGTTAACTTTAAAGAGCACACGCTACGGATTACGGCTGAAAACCTACCTGCACGCGTCGCCAGCACTCACTTCGTGAATTATTGCTATATGTATCCCTGCCAAGGACTATTATTCTAGTTGATTTTTATTTTAAATTGTGGACATTAGAAATTTATTATTGAAAATATTTTGACAGTCGCATGAATGGATTGTGAACGTCAGTGAGTAGCTGTGTCGCCCACTGCGCGCTAATCAAATAAAAATAAATGAACTAGGCCTTGCATTAGCCTTGTAGCATGCCACGTACGCATGCCGCACAATGCGGCAATTTAATGCTGCATCATGTGCCCGCGAGCCATACGGCAATTGCCATCCATCCCAAAACCAGGAGCCAGCGCTATAGCAGGGTGAGAAAATCCAAATTGCCACATACTCGTGCAGAAGAGGTGAGCAGAGAGAAGTGAAAAAACACACAAAAGCGAACGACGGCTACAAATCAAAACACACGTGGCTACATTTTGCCAGAATTTGTGTGTGAGTATGTAAGTTCGACTACGTGAGTGGGTGAGAAGGGGTGCCGCATCTTAGCACGTGCAACAGTATCAAGCGCAACGTTGAGTCCTAAGAATGCGCAGAAGGTATGTATGTAGTACATTTAACAAAATATGGCAATCGGTGCGGGTAA